GATTTTTTGATGTTTTATTTTCAATCAAATTATCAATAATTTGGTTTTTTATGTTAATCTTCTCTTGTTAGCATCTATTCCGATTGCAATATTGTTAATAAATGACAATCTTGTACAATATAATAGAAAAAGTAACTTTTGTTTTATGCATTATATAAATTATATACTGTATAACATATTTATATACATCTATTATGTATATGCAGGATATTTCAGAATGTTACTTTTTTTTAGCTATAAATATTGGAGTATGGCATTGGAGCATTTGAGTTAATACAAATTAGGCTTAAGAAATGTTAATAAATAAAATTTTCTCTGTATTTATCACACTAAACTTTTAACATACCATCTATAACTCTGAAATAGTCTATGTACATTTTCTATAATTTATATTAATATACATACGTATTTTTATCTAAATTTTTACTAGCTGATATATAAGGAGATGGATTAAAGGTACATTTTGTAACATTGTATTTATATTGTGCTTTAAAATTATTTTTACATTGATTTTTTATTACAGCGACAAGATAAAAGCTGTTGTCTATAAGCAAATACAAGATCAAGATGAAGAAAAGAAGATAGAAGATAAAGTTTCAGAAATGGCCGAAACTTTCAAAATACATGCGGTCAAAGAACCTGATAAATATTCTTCAATAAACGATATGCTTAAAACAGATTTATTTAATGATACAATGCCAGAAAAGGATGAGAATATTTGGAACAAAGATATAGATACAGCCAATTTATTTTCAAATGTTGATAACCTGATTGATCAAAAGAATGAAGAAGATATGTTAAGTATTGTGGAAAGTATTGTAACAGCAAAGCTGGAGGCTGAATTTTGTATAAACAAGGAGCATAAAGATCAGTCAAATACATCGGAGAATAATACCAAAGATATTATACAGTAAGTATAAAAAAATGTAACTTATTATAGTTATTATCAATATGTTATTTTAATATCTTTTTTGTATTTTATTTATTATATTTTATACTTATATTTTATATATTTATTATATTTTATATTTACAATAAATTAGGGACACAATATGTACAAATCTTTCCGAGTCACAAAAAATTAATGAAGACACAAAAGAGCTGAAATTAATAAAACATTCTGATGGTAATAATAACGATTCCAAATCAGTAACACTTTGTATGTCAAAAGTAAATGATGAACAAAATTCAACTTGCAAAATAGCTGATGTAGAAAGCAGTAAAGCTTTAACAGAAACAAATGATAAAGGTAAATTTATATGCGAAATATATATTTATGTACATTACAATTATATTGTAATATAGTATCTAGTTGTATTATACATGTATATACATGTATGCACACACACACACATACACACACACGCGCACACACACACACACACACACACACACACACACATATACATACTTTTTCGTAGTTCCGCTGACATCTTCCAAGAAATAAAGTTTTTTTAAAAAATATTTTCTCTACTGTGCGTATGTATGTATGTATGTATATATGTATAAAAACTATTTATTCCATTTTTAGATGGACATGTAAAAAATAATATTACAAAAACAAGTGTTAAGACTGGAAGTAATACAAATTTAATTAAAGACAATGAAAAACCTTCCACACATAATCCTAGTAATAGCGATTCTAAGAAAGCAATTTCTAATTCATCAAAGTTGCTGAGTACTACTGATAAAAATGGAAGGGATCACTTTAATAATAAGCATAAAGCAAAAAATAATGCATGCATAAGGAAACAAGAATTTGTAAAGCAACGCAATGTTTCAAGAAATGGAACAGAAAAGGAGATAAAAAAGTCAAACTCAGTGAAAACAGATTTTGAGACAACTGATGTAGTATGTCAAAGTAAAAATTTAAACAAAGATAAAACTTTACCAAAGCAAACAAAACAATTTCCATCAAAATTAAGAGGCCAAGAGTCTTTTAAAAAGAATGTATCTATGTCTAACTTTTCTGATGATAAAAATAAAATTGAGAAATCAACATATGTATCAGGAAATCTCAATTCACCATTAAATGAATCCGAAAGAAAGAATGAAAAGATTGTTAATGAACAAAATTTTCAAAGCGATCAAAAAACAAATCGCAATGATTTTAGAAAAAATACATTTGTTACGCAATATAAAAATTCAACATTCTCCAAGCCAGTGCAAAATATCCCGAAAACAGGACAAGCTCCAATGTATGGAAGAAATTCATCATATGCATATAATAATCCAAAATTTAATAGGAATCGTAATGACAGTGCCGAACATAAAGTTATGAAGAAAGAGCTTACACCTACTAACGTATTTACAAAATCAAATACAGGAACTGAAAAACTTGACACAAACAATTTGGAAAGTTGCACAACGCAGAACGAAGAAATAATTCAACCGCCAAATGTAAAATCAACAAATGTACATGAAGTAGATACATTGTCCAACGATAAAAATGATACAAAATCTGTAAAAGTGGAGACACACTTAATACAAAGTAAAGAAAATATGAATATAAGAAACAAGGATCAAGAACAAACTACAATATCAGAACAGTATTGTGAAAAAATGAATATCTCTAAAGTTGATGTTGGCCAGCAACATAGAGAAACGAATAAAGAAGATATCAAACCACTTAAGCATTCGTCTAATTTAGCTTCTGATAAATGTGCTACAGACTCACAAACCAATGCGATACATCAGTATTCATCAAAGCTAGAAAATATGCAACGCGTAAATGATGTAAATCAATTAGAAAACAGTCAAATTACTTGGAATCAATCTCCTGACAACGCTATGCAGAAAGGCGCAGCAATTATGAGTTTACAACACTCTATTCAAAATATGCATTTTAATACACAACAAACTTTTACTCAAACAGGAAATTTAAGAGGACAGTCGTCATGGGAACCAAATAATAGCAAATTTTATGATCAACATTTTTCAGTTAATGATGCGATGAGGTCGCAGATTCCAAATACTTTCAACGCACCCTATAGCAAAACACAAATATCAAATGATGACAGGATCACCGGTACATCTACGCTCGAAACCACGATGAATAGAGAAAATTCAAATGTATTGTATAGATATGGACCGAACGTACAGCAGAGACCTGTTATGACTTCTGATTTTTCTGGCCATTCTGTGTCGTCATGTCAGACTAACCAGTCTAGATGGAATTCCTCGATACAAGACAGTTATCACATTGAACATCCATACGTTGCGACGCAACCTACAATGATGCACATTTACAATTCTGCAGCTTTTGGTCCTGAGGATTTTAATAATACAATGGATTATGTATCGCATCCAGTAATTTATGCATCCCCATATATGCAAACATGGAATTCACAATTACAGTATTCAGTGCCCGTTGTGTATAATTCTCCATGTACGAATTATACGTTTCCTCATCATAATCAATCAAATAATTTTAACAGCTCTGTACTTGATCAGCAACATAAACATAATCCTTATATGCAAATGAATAATTATGCTAGAGATACATATCATGATACAAATACGTGCGCTGTACAAACAAGAAACTCTGTTGATAATGTTCCGATGAAATCCAATTATTATTACAAGAAACATCAAGACAATTGTCGAACAGTTTGTGATGTTCCTCAACATGTAGCATCAGTTTCGTATTCAAAATCACAACAAGGTATGAATTACATGCCTGCCATAAATCAATGCAACACATCATATTGTCCAAATCAGAAATATTATAAGCAAAACATGACAAATTATATGAAAAATCCGAAAGGTCAGGTACAAGATTTTATTTGTGATGATAATGCATCAGAAGACACTCCTCCAATAATATCTCCGAAAGAATTTGTAACGAGCAATGTAAATCTTTCAAATCAAAGTGATCAATTTGCGACACGAGTATTTAAACCAGAGTTCAAGATGAGATCAAATTCAGGCTATCGCCCGCCACCCTCTTTACCAAGGTATAATGGCAGTTTTCGCAGAAATACAACTTATCAAGATTTACCGAATGAATATACATATCCTGTTAGTATTGGCCGTGGTACATATAAAACTAAAAAAACATAAAAATAGATCTAGACCAAGAGTTTGAGCTATAGTATAAAATATACATTAAAATATACATTCTGCAAAAAAAATTTATTTTAAAATAATTTACTTTACAATTTAAAATATTCTACCTCTTATAAATCTTAGAAAGAGAATCAGCAAGTAAAATTTTCCAATTGTTCAATGAGATTGTAACTCTATATTTACTATGCATTTACTATGATCTACTACAAATCATAATTTACCATCTCCTTTTCTATTTTTGATGCTTAAAAGAATATGTTTTTATATAACAAACAGTTATAATGTTGAGATAGAAGATTCCTATAATATACATTATGCCAGATGTTAAGAAAACTATAAGTGTATTATTAAGTTTAGATTCATATCATATTGTGATTATCAAACCCAAAATGATGCTCTTCTTGTATCTAAAGACTCATTTAAATATACTAAATAATATATAAAGTTTTGTTTAAATCCGTAAGTTTTCACAGATGGGTTACGAATCGCTAGATATGTAAAAATTGTTCGAAACATCAATTACGAGAAATGTTCAACAAATATTTAGCATGTAAGATTTTTCGTATGTTTGATTTCTTATAATTTTAAGATGAAATATTTCAGAAAAATATATATTCTGCTTTACTTTATTTTTCTATCTTACTTTTGTGTTTAAACTGTATTGTTAACAAAGATGATATAGTTTATTTTTTCTGGACTAGTTTTATGAAATAAATACAATATGTTTTGATATTTCTACATTGCTTAATTTATATTACATTGTTTATAATTCCTTAATAAACCTCTAATTTTTGTTTTTTTTTATCACATTAAATTCATAGTCTATCACGACGAAAAGTCTGAAAATGAATGCACACAGGGATGTGTCATAAAAATATTTAATTAAATATTTATATACACATTCAGATAAAAGAAGCAAAAATAACAAACATTTATTTATTACACTTCTTAACTTTATTATTAACATTTGTAACGAAGAAAGACAAATATATCAGCTTAAACGTACAAAAGTCTCATTATGTATGCTTGATTGAATAAAATTGTCACAATCAAAGTGTTAACTTTAGTATTAAATGTATACACTTACTAGTCAATGTATACATTTATGTATAGCAAATTACAATAAGTATATCATTTACTGAGTTAACACTGATTGTGACATAGTATGTACAAATTAAATTACGTAATTTGTTTTATATACGAGTATGTATATTTATATTTTATATATTTAACATTACATGAATATATATGAATATATATATCACAGCCATGTAGAGGCCCGTGCATTCGTGTCAGAAATGACCATGTCATTCAGTGTCACGCGTTTAGGCTTTCCTAAAATTGCAATTAAATCGATTTCGTTTCTTGCTGTCAAGATTTGCTTGTCAGACAGCGATTGTATACTCGATAAAATATCAGGATTTGGTCGTAGCATTATTAATTGGCAGTTGTTTTTCCTGAAGTCATTTATCGTCATATTAAGACCCTAAAAATAACACATCAATGAATTAATAAATATTTTAAGAGTAAGATATACGAGTATTTATAGACCAATTTTTAATTTTGCGTTGTATTAATTATAAATTATATTCTCAAAATGTCTTTTTCATTATTGTATTTTATAAATGACTGTTTCAAAACCTGTGCGGCAGTGAAGTCTATTTTGTCGATGTGTTCACAATCTAATACGACATTCATACCGGAATTCTTCGTTAGATACATTCTCAAATAATCTACTGCAGGGAATAAAATTCCAGCGGTAGGACGAACTAAGAAGTAGTCTGTTGTTGAGATCTGCAGAGAGAAAATTTTTATAATCCTTTATAATTCTTAACATAAAGAATTTTTCTTAATAAGTATATCTAAATCCAGAGACACAGTTTTATTTTCTTACGTTTCTATGTTCAATATTTATCGTTGGCCGCGCATTGAGATATATTAATATCGCCAGATCTAATATCGTACCTATCAAAATTCCCATCTCAACTCCGACAAATAAACAGGCAAGAAACGTAATAAATGCCGGTATTAAATCACGTTCTATAAAGAAAAATAATATTTTATTTGTGCTAATTTCATTAGTATAAATTTTTTATTCAATGAGTTGTCACAATGAACAAAATGTTAGCAGTATGCTCTCCCCCCCCTCCCTCCAACAGTTTAACAATAGATTCGAACAGAATATTGTGACAGATTGACAACAGTTTAACAAATATTACCTGCGCCCGCAATTAAACTCGTGTTCTGCTGAATTAAGTCTACCGATATATATATATAATCTAACAAGCATAATTCTTTAGAAAATCTTTATTAGATACGCATGCTAGTCTAGATTAATTGTTTTGAATATATATTCACTCACTATTGCACTTCCAGATTGGAATTATCATATCAATGTCTATCATAAATATCACCGCGCTAATTATAACAGCGCTCAGTGTCGCCTTTGGGATATAATAAAAATATGGTATCAACAAACTTAGCGCAAGTATGACTAGAATACCTGAAATTATTTATCATTTTCATTAATATTCTTCCTTTTTTTTTTAAAAAGAGATTTGTGCGTTATTCTTCCCATAATGATAATGCTTAATTTATTTGAGTTTAATTGTTAATAAGAATGTGTAAGTGTTATTTAATGTCAGTAAAATTCACCCGTGTAGAAGCCACCTAAAGGTGTTCTAACACCAGAAGCGTTATTCACTGCGCTTCTCGAGAAAGATCCTGTAACAGGCATTGACTGAAAGAATGAACCAACCACGTTACATAGTCCGAGAGTCAGCATTTCCTGCGTGGCGTCTAAAGGCATGCCTTGTGCTTTAAAAACAATGAGAGAAATATTCTCAAGAAAATTATACATATAAATAACTTGATAGAATACATATATTATATTACGCACGACTTAGCATATCCGAGGACAATGAAGTCAAATGATATAAAATCGATTAACCCATTTGCATCATTAACGTATAATACATATATAGGCGCAATTTTCCTAGTGTTATCACCAGAGTGCATATACATATATTATATATACTCGTGTTCACATTGAGTTAATAATGCGCGAACAGACGATTGCACATCTGACGTATGTCACGTGGTAGGTAACAAAAACGAAAGAAAAGAAGTCTTGCGAAGGAGTCTTATTTCGTATGATTACAAACGGGTTAAAACTTCTACTCTTTCGACTTTTATCTTCATCAATTAAATAAAGAAATAAAATCGCGTTTTTTATGAAATGATTTTTATATAACATATGTAATGTATGTATTAAAAATGTTGTACAAAAAGCTTTTGCAATGGCGACGTTTCCAATGATAGAGATGAGTGGCACAATCAAGATGCCAAACTTTAAATTCTTCGTCATATCGATAAAACTTTCAGTTTGGTTGCCAATCGTTCTCGAAAACGGAGGTAGTTTGACAATTGGGAGACCGGCATCGATGTGACCCGTAAGGATATACGGTGCTCCACCGTTCATTTCAAAAATATAAGACGTAACTGCGCAAAGGACAACCACGAGAGCATTCCTAGCTGTACCAATCGTCCAGAGGATTTTTTTTAGCGTGGTACTAGCGACTTTTTTATCTTTCAAATACTGAAAAAAATAAACCGATACATCTTGTGATCGTAATCTGTGCTTGCGCTTTAAATAAGTTCTATACCGGTATACCTTCAAGATCAGTAAAATTAGAATACAACAGCATGATAAAATCAAATCCGGTATTTTCGTGTCAGCCACGTTATGTATTAACTCCATTAAAATTTCGACGAATCTTTCACCGTGAATATTCAAACCTAGCAAATTTTTTATTTGACTGCAAGCGATGATGACGCTCGCAGCTGATGTAAATCCGGATACCACCGGTATCGATATGAACTCGACTAAGAATCCTAAGCGTAAAATGCCAAGTAATATCGTGATGCATCCAGACAGGAAGCAAAGCAAGGCCGCATACTCGGGAATTCCACTGAAAAAAAATCATCAAACTTGGAATGTAAGTGCACTTTTGTATTATACAGCCTTGACGCAAACGACATTTTCTCAAGAGACACGGCTTATGAAAAGTGCTTTTAACAATTCAATTACGTTACTACTCAAGTGATCTCATTTGATTAGCACTCTCTTTCATCACACGACCGGATGAAACTTCAAGCGAGAACATTGTTATGTCAATCATGCGCATAACATCTTCAATACAAGCAAGATTTGTCGATTAAATACAACTTCCGGCCAATTATCCTAAAATTTGTATACTGTTCCTAGCTAGTGCTATAAAATTTACACTTTATATAAAAAAAAAAAATCATAGCAATTGCAAACAACGTTTAAAATCTGAAAACTATATATTTGTCTAACAATAAATAGGTGGAAAAATTTATTATGTAATTAAATTAGACTAAAGCAAGAATTGATACTTAAGTGCAGAATTGTTACGTGCAAAAATCCAGAAATTTAAGAGGCCAATAACTTACTTGCTGTTATTTTATTATTTTCAGAAGCTTTAACGTACCTCGCATATGTCCAAGTCAGTAAAGATATGAGTGCTGTAGGACCGATATTGACTTCTCGACATGTGCCGAAAAAAATATAGACGAAACTTCCCGCGAACGCACTATAAAGCCCATATTGCGGCTCCAAACCCGCTAAACCTGCATAAGCTATTGCCTGTAATCGCAAGTATCACGTTTTTTTTTTAGTACCGATTGAATAACCACTGAATAACTTCAGACGATTAAACAGACATATATGTACTTGAGGTATCAAAGTTAATCCTACGGTGAGACCCGCAACAAGATCGCCTAATGCATCCTTCAGTTTATACTGCGGTAGCCATTTAAAAATAGGAATTCTTTTATTAATTACTTCTTTGAAATTAGGACTGGCCATCGTTATTTATATCAATTATTCTTTTAAACGTCCTAATAAGAGAATTGCAGCAAAGATAAGAAATCTGAAAAGGCGATAGGTAGTATGAAATTATGTCATAATGATAATGCATATCAAATATATCTTGAAACTAACGTGGTTCTAATATTAACACATATAAAAAATAAGAGCATAAAAAACCACAGCACAAGTTATAGTTTGTGATATTTAATTATTATTACATTAATTAAAACATTAAACGTTTCGGTCACAATCTGGCCATCTTCAGTAATTCAATAATATTCTTACAACGCAGAATTACATCCAGTTGACATTAAATTCAACAGTCGAGAATTGTAATTAAATAAACATGTTCTTTTATATGTGAAGATGCTTCATACAGTAATGTTACACCGTCAATTGTCATATCAAGAAAAGTGTAGAACAAGAATTTCCAGATTCTAAATAAAATTGTATATATTAAAATCTTCTAGTCGTAATATAAAGAAATGGAATCATTACCTGTTTTACAACAAAAAAACCAAACGATGAATCTCGAGTATTTCTTTTACACAGTTAGAATTTTGTCGTGACATTATGTGTTGTTATTTGTCCTATCATATATTTTACCACTATTTATAATTCATGCATCTCATTCATACGGTGACGTGAAACCACAGAAATTTCGGAAGAAGGTTTTCTTATATCGGCCTTATGTTCTTTAATCCGAGTTTTTAATTTCCTTTTGGTTTGGCCAACATAAGACGATTCACAGTTTAAGCAATTAATTTTATAAATTACTCCGCATTGGTCATCCTTAGGCAAAGAATCCTTTCCTGTCTTAATAAATGTATTCAATTTATTCATAGGTTTATAAGCTATATTAAAACCGTACACATGTGAAAGTTTTTAAAATTTTTCCGAAACTTTGCCTAAATATGGTATCGTGAAAAATTTTTTTGAAGTAACATTAGAGTCACATTCATTATTAATTTCTTTACGATTTTGATCTAAATTAGTTCTGTTTTCCAACGTTTTAATTCTATTATTTATTGTAGAAAATATAAACTTTAAAGGATAACCATTACTTAGAAACGTGTGAATTAATTCAGAGATGTTTTTTTCATGAAATTTAGGATGGGATAAGAATAGAATTCTATTAATTATGTAATAATAATTAAATATCACAAACTATAACTTGTGCTGTGGTTTTTTATGCTCTTATTTTTTATATGTGCATATCAAATATATTTTTATTGAAGTAAAGAAATTTGTATAAGTGAAAGTTTAGCATATCTTTAAAAAATTCGATTTTTTTCAGATTCTTATCTATTTCTTTTTCTTTTTTAAATATTTAAAAATGAAATTTTTATTAAAGAAATAATTAAAGTTTGTAAACTTTAGTTTTTTATTTATTTAAGATTGTGTTTAAAGTTAATTGTAAATGAAAATTTAATTTTATCAAGTAAATTAAAATTTATAACGTATTGTTATACGTTCAATAAATAATCCTTGTGATATAAAGTATTAGATATATTTTATAATATTTGACTTGATTTCGATAAAAAGAAAATATTCAATTTGTACATTTGTATGCAAGCATTAAGTGACATATCATCCGATAACAATCACGACTCACGTAACATTGTGTTTGCGTCTTCCGTTATAATTGCGGGAATCCATTGCTTTGATCATATCGAATCGTTTAATGTGTCATGCGTTAATCACATCACAGACTTTGTAACTCAAATATAGAACTTTAGGATTAACATTTTTTTCTCAGACTCTTTGCGTATTCACTCAAATATTTACTGTGACAATAAAGATTGCCAAGAACACGATATAAATAGCTTATCATAATTACTCAAAAGTTACAATGCATTTTCTACACGATAATTATACACAATTATCACGAAAGTCCAGAAAAAACGTAGTTTCTCTTATCAGTAGCTTATAGTTATAGTTTATTAAAAGAGAATACGAAGAGAGTACCACTGTTTTTTTAAGAGTAAAATTAACGGACGTTCTTTTTTTTTTTCGAAGGAAAAAATCTTTCTTGATCGCAAATGTATGTTGTTAATTCATATATTATTACAATTGCAATCTGTCCGTCACACCAGTTCTTATACAACCGTTTTTCACACACTGCGAGCACCTTTTTGCCTCTTCGCTTGGTCGCGGTCCACACGGTGCTCACGTGTTAACGCATGCGTTTACTCGATCCTTCCTTCGTATGACATCATCACCGGAGATCAGGCTTAGATCGCCAATTTATTCAACAAATTGAATGGACGTCTTTTTCATAGTACCTTATCTAACGAGTCTTTTGGCTTGAGTTCTTTTCTCTGATGGCAAATCTCAAGGCAACGTTATAGTCCTTTAATTCCGTATCCTTTAATATATACCGCACTCGCTGCTTTCGATAGCAAATACGTACCGTATCCATAACGTGCTGTGTTGGCTTTTATGTTTTTCGTGAGATAAATTATTTTTTATATATGTTTATCTTGACATAAATTGGTATGATCAAATAATTCAAATCAATAAATAATTTAAATCAATACAATCAAATAATGCCGATTAGAGCTAACACAAGATGTCAATGTGAAGTTTGGGACAACATACGCATCTAAGATGCGTATGTTGTCCCAATCATGAAGATACTCTAATCGATGTTCCGTAATAACCGATCGCTGTTTGGTATTCCAGTTGATGTAGTTTCTGTGTTCACTAATGCGAGATTTTGACATCCTGTGTTGGCTCTAATCGGCATTATTTGATTGATTGATTTATCTCAATTGAGCCTTAATATTTAGTTTATTAATTATATGTTTATTTTGTATATATTTTATATAAATTTTAATATACCTAAATAATTGCGCAATTGTTAACAATAAGGTGCTATAACGTATAAGGTAAAGTATATTGAAGGATTATTAGATAGGAGCGGCTGTATACATTAGGGTACCTATTTACACAATATCAGCTTTTATATTCTCAGAAAGACTGAAAATAATTATCAATATGGAACGTCATGTGATTCTATATGAGGGGATCCGCGGAGATCTAAGAAAGAGTGGTTGACAATTGTAATAAATCTTTAATTCGATTTCTGATTCTCATTCTACATACAGATTTTTAATTCATAATCTATGTAAAGCGCTTCTCTGGATGCCTAGGTTTAAGATTGGTTAGGTGTGCATATGGCTGATAAACACAGCATATAAAATAATTATTGTTGCAAATGTTTATTAAGATACATCCTTAGAACAGGCCAAGGTTCATCTTATCCTAAGGGTTGTAGAGTCAAAGTCGATTGATTGATCAATTGAATTGGCGATATACATGGATAAAGCGAAAAATTATTTTCGTGAATTTTTATTGCTTGAATATGACTCTGACATAAATATCGGAAAAATTATTTTTATGATGTAACAAGGAGTATACGAATAGCATGATCATACATATGTATGTGTGCGTGTTTGTGTGTATGAATATGAAATGAAGTAGTCTTATACGAAGTATTTCTTGTTTGGTACATAGGTTTTAGTTCAAACTTGTCGTTTAAATTCGTGGCATGTAAATATGTACTGGAAATAAACGTATGTAATGCACGTAATTCATGAAGACGATGTATGCATACTGGCACAATATATGGAACACATTAGAACACATTCTGACAAATGTACTGATACTGATATGAAAAAATATTTAAATAATACTTTTTCCTTAATGTTTATATATAAGATTTATAAGACAGAAAGTCATTACGTGTGTTTGAAAATCTCATTATATTTTTCTTACATTTTTAATGGTTTTCTGCGTAGTATTTAAAAAAAAATAATATAAAATAATGAAACCGAAAGAATTTTATTTTAATGATTTATTAGATTTTCATTACAATAACAATAAAAATTAAATAAAAATTATTAATAATAAAAGTTGAATTAAAAATGTTTCATTGAATTACATTATAAAAATATATTAAAAGTATACATTGATTTCAAACAATAATTCTACATAAATATGTAATATACGTTTAAATAATGATATTTTAATGTATCTTCATATGTATGTGATGTTAGAAATATACGCTTTGATTCCTACATCGTAATTTAGTATCCAGTTATACCGGGAAATTGCACATAAAAACGTGTCCTTGTCTGTTTCCACTAATTATAGCAATTCGACTTGTTACCTGTAATGTTTAGCGAATTCATAGTTCATTGCGCACGAATACGTAACTTATGTACTATATGTGACCATGATGATCATACGATAAACTAAGTTTAGTTTTAACAAATGTCCTTGTCATTCTTATTACGTCATGCGGATGTGAAAAAGAAACAGGATCAATTATTAATAAATATGTCAGATAAAAATGCATTTGTATTACAAATTGTTTTTTTTAGAATATATTCATGTAAAATGGAACGCAATTATAACAGGATGTTATAATATATATTAAAAATCAATAAAACATAAAAAGAAAAACATAATATATGATATATTTATATGTTGAGTATGAAATTATAATGATTGTTATAATGTGAATCGATTTAATGCTAAATTTTGACGAAATAGTATTTTTTATTTTTGAAATAAAATATCTTTTAGTTAACTTAATTGTCCTTATTACTTTAGCATATTTGGTACCAAACAGATCCAATAATTCGAAAAGATGTAAAAAAAAAAATGAATAAAAGTAAAGATTTTGCGGAAAATTAGATAGTTAGATATAACTTTATGATTGTTTAATTTCTTCAAAAACATCACGCTAAACAAAATAATATATAGCGATTAAGTTGAACATTGAATATTTGAATCAACATTTGATAATCTTTCTCAAATGTAATAGTATAACATAAAAGCTTGAGAAAAGATTTTAATGTAATACAAATTACCTAATTATAAATAAATACATAATTAGTTAAATACATAAGATATTATTAAATATTGAGCCATATATAATATATATACTGGGCAAATTTTCTATAACAATAATATTGTAATGGCCTCGATATAATGATCACTGATTGTTGTTATCTACTATTGATACAATTTTTTATAACATTAATTTAATAACATTAATTAATTTAAATTATTACCTATAATTATGATATAATATGAATAATATATACTTATTTAATTTACGTTAATTTTTTTCACATAACACTATAGTTATAAAATAGTATAAAAAAATAAGAAACTTATTTAGCAAAAAAAGAAGTAACATCAGCTGATAAAAATATGAATAACGCAGATTACCATTTGTCCGACTGTGGACAAAATTATAAAGTATTTTTTATTATTTATCTGCGCTTCTATAAAATTAAATTTATTAAAATTATTTTTCATTTAAAATATTCCGTTTCAATTTTTTTTTTATTGATATTTAGATATGTATAAGACAATTAAAAATAAAAGATAGGTATATTTTGTATATTATATCTTTTGTTAAAATAATGTTGATTTCAATTAATAAAATATCTGTGAAATGCTCATCTACATGAAAAAATATTTTAAATAAAAGTTTTATGACATTTGATATACTTCATAATTATTTAAATTTTTTTGGAAATATATCTTTCAATATATTTCTATTGTACATTTATTATTCTTGCAAAATTAAAACTTTTTTTATTTAAACAAATACACGAGTATGCAAACCGAATATGTCGACGTGTTGATGAAAAAAATGCAAAATACGTATAGTTAATTGACCGTCGCTAATAGCAAGACAATTATATCCGTTGATTGTCAGTAACGGAAGTAACATTTTATTTCATGTAATTGAACATCATGAGCCATAGCTGAGAAACGTAAAATAGAAGTGATCAACGCTATGAGATATGAAGAAAGAGAGGAAGCAAAGAAAAAAAATGGAAGAATTAAAAAGGTACTCTTATAATAAATAACTTTTTTGAGCTTATTATATCGGATTTTATTTCTGTTAGTATTTATCATCGAATCTGACATTTTATATAACTTCTTACTTTGACAGTACTATCATGAATCGATTAAAAAAAAATTATAATGTCATCAATATATAAATTTATATTAATAACATAGAATACAGATAATCTAATTTAAATTAATATATGCATGAATACGAAAGTAGACGTATGATACATTATCGTTTTACATCGATTTAATATTATTTCTTAACTCTTTTAATGCAGAACCACACTGAGAAAATCTAGTTATACAAAAATATATCCGTTTATAAAATTAATACATTTTATAAATATTAATGATATTTCATAAAAATGCATTTTATAAAAGATTTGTTGCATGATTCTATTTTTCTCGTAAAGTACATTTTTACTTGAAATAAATTTACTTTCTTAAAATTTAAATTTAATCTTTATCTAACGATCTTTATTAAATCTTAACGATATCTTTATTAAACGATCCCGATGCGTTTTTCTTATTTATTATACCTTATATAAATTAATATTTGTTCTTTCATTGGTCCCATGCAATCAGAGAAAGAGGAAAAGAACTGCGCTTGCTGATCGCGTCATTGCAGCGGAATTTCGGCTGTAAATATTCGTAACGGAACAACTGGCTCCTTAACAGCGCGGTTTGAAGCGCCGTGCACTGTACGAAAAAAAAGGGTAGTATAAACGTCGTAATGTTTTATCAAACTCTGATCATCAGACCCGGTTCTCTGAACCTTCCTGCGACTTCCTACTTCTTTTCGTAAACAAGAAACTTGCTGGATTCGTACTTGAAAGTTCTTCACCCTCTCCACATATTCATCCATCATCCCGTGACTCACCGATGACCATCTCTCTTCGCATCTTGAATTTATGGAAGTCTTAATTCGACACGCGTCACCTGGTATCTTCAAAAGCGTTTCATATTACGTAAATATTTAATTATATTTTGAGCGGAGCTAACATGTTTATTAAATGTTTCGATTTACATA